ATGTGGAGGATGTTGATTATTTTTTGCCGTGATTAATTTTATGTCACACTAATGACGATGTCGGTTCTGTTAACAACTTTGTTCTTGACTTCCCTGGGGAGGTCCGTGAACTTTTCAGCGTTAATTGTCCTGATTCGGATGATACCATTTTTGATATATGCAGAAGTTCTTAAACTCTCTCGACGAATCTGGCCTTGCACCTCACAAGCTACGCTTAAAAGTTGATGCGTATGTGATGCTTTTACGAAATTTGTCATTGAACTAAGGACTTTGCAACAGTACAAGGCTGATTCAAAAGAAGATCGTTAATGATGATTTGTTGGAAGTGACAATAATGCACACGGGTAAGACAACACTCATCCCCAAGATTGATCTGACAAGCGATGGTGAGACCACTGGGTTCAAATGGTTTATGAGATAATTTCCAGTCCGTCTTGTTTTTGCTGTAACGATTAACAGGTCGTAAGGATAAACCATATCGCGTGTCAGGGTTTGGCTACGCAAACAGGTTTTTGCGCATGACCAACTGTACGTTGCTTTGTCGCGTGTTGACCATCCGGACAACATCCCTGTTGCGTTGCCTGATAAAAAAATTTTGATGAAAAATATTGTATATCATGAACTTTTGGGATGAGTCATCTTCTTTTTTTTTCGTCGAGCCTTCACATTCGAAATAATTCCGTCATATTCTTTCTTTGCAGACGACTCCCGAATGAAGCATAAGTATGACACTCGTGCTAATAGGAAAGCAATGACAATCAGCAGTACGACTCAATATGATACGAGTGTGACGTCAAAAGTTGGAACCGAACATTCGGAGAGGTCGAAAAAAAGTGAAAATGATGAGAGGTCGGTCAATCTTGGAAGTGAACATGCTCGGGGTAATCATGCTCCTCTTGGTGAAGTTGAACATCGATGTTCAAGAGGGAATACCCTCGAGGATGCTGAGAATATGTTTGTGGAGGAGGGTGGTGACGGTTGTCGTGTTGATGGGGATTGTTTTCGGCTTTTCGCAGAGATTTCTCGAGTAGGCCTAATAACCGTACATTTTTTGGTGACGAAGTGGATGATGCTAGTAGTGATTCGAAAGACGATTGTGTTGATTCTACATCCAAAAGAAGAAAGAGTCGTGATGAAAAAATTAATCTTTTGGTCGAGGGAATGATCGAGCCTACATTCGCTAATAATAAGGTAGAACGAAAATCAATTGATGTTAAAACCGGAATTCAGGTTCTGAGAGCGCTGAATGCGCTTTCTGCCGGCACGGTTAGATCTCTTCCATTTTGTCGACAGGTCGGTGGACTTGCACGTGCTCGTGATTCGTGTTCGTAATCTCAACGTAGTAGACACGAAAAAGATGTTTGCGACGTTTGCGTCACATTGCAACCACAAGATTGTTTGGGGTTGTTGTTGTGTTTGATGATAATGATGCACTTAGAATCCGCACTCAGAATCCGCGCGCTTACGTTGCTAGATGGTTTGACAATGTCAAGAAGGTTGACATGCAAAATATCTTGACTAAGGTGTTTTTTGAAATGTTTGTCAAAAGTGTCAAAGTCATCAAAGATTGACGAATTTGAGAAAACTTCCTCAAGTGGAAAAGAAACAAACTCACTAGTATGTAGTTGGAACGACGATCCCCTCTTCTTTCAGACCCATTGAATATTTCGGATTTGGAGGTTTTTTCAACGTTGCAATCTCTTTTGACGATGAGTTCATTGCTATGTCTAATGAGAAGATAACGAGGATGACAATTCATTTGCCACATTGTCCAACCGAAGGGACGATTTCTCAACCCTTTCACAGATATGCACAGATACAACAGCTTCTCAAAAGGATTCGTCCCATGGTTGCTTTTTCCTCTCCTCATTCCGCTCCGGTCCCCAGACTCCCCCTTCAAGCACCATCTCCACGAAATTTTCAACGTCTTGCAGATTATGCTGCACCATCCAAGATGTCAACGCCGATTGCCACTACTTTTGTTGTTGTTTCTGCTTTGTCGACCGCAATGGCTACTCCGTCTCTTGTCATTTGTGTTTTGCCCGTTATTACGCTATCAAGAGACCATTTGCATGTCCATACAGGACCCTTGGAACAACCAAGCTCTTCTAATTTTAACATTACCATATATGACCCTCTTAAATTTATTGGTCTCTAAAAGACACTTGCACACCTGTCATATCTTGACAGTTCTCACAGGGTGTAAGATATTGTGGAAGCATCAGCGAAATTGAATACGAGCATGAACACTTGGAGATGTGTGAATGCTGCGATTTATCTCGATTACAATCGGCAAAGGGAGGATCGATTTAGAACTTTTGAAAAGTATCGTCGCAAAGTGTTGCAACGAGTTTCTGTCCGTGAGATGTTGCAAGAGTATCGTTTCAGTGAAGAAAGTTTATTGGTGTTTTAAGAGAGATAGGAAAACATAGATATTGATTGGGCGGTTGTCCACGCATTGCCTTAATGACAATTTTTTTTATGGTCAACTTCGGTTTCGGTCAAGTAATTGTGCTTACACGAGAGATAGGACGAGAGAGACAAATTAATGGGGGGGGTCAGTGGGTGGGGATATACAAAGAGAGAGAGAGAGAGAGAGAGAGAGAGAGAGAGAGAGAGAGAGAGAGAGAGAGAGAGAGAGAGAGAGAGAGAGAGAGANAGAGAGAGAGAGAGAGAGAGAGAGAGAGAGAGAGAGAGAGAGAGAGAGAGAGACAGAGACAGAGACAGAGACAGAGACAGAGACAGAGACAGAGAGAGAGAGAGAGAGAAAAAAAAAAAGAAAAAAAAAATGACTTAATATTATTGCATTTTTTTAAGTCAAGGTGGATTCCATTACGCAATAATTGTGCCTTGATCATTCTGCGAACACTTGCTGTCTTTGATGGAACAATAAATCTTCATATTAAACTTTTTTTCTTTGTATACTCGTATTGGTCTTTCTTTATTCTTTGCTATTTTGTTGCTACTCTCTCTCTCGATCAAGATCTCTTCGTATGTCTCCATCTCTCTCTCTATATATATATGTCTCTCTCTTTTCCTTTCTTTTTGTCTCTATTTTTCTGTCTTTGTCTCTCCTCGCCCTTTCTCCTACTTTTTTTTCTTTTTTTTTTCAATTTGTCACTTTTTTAATTCGTCACTTTAACTTAGACTTCGTAGCCAGTTTTGGGCTATTCTTTATTGCCCTGTGATCCTTTTTTTTTTTTTTTAGTCTCTTTTGAGTTTATGCGAGTGGTCTGTGTCAGGTTGCCTGCAACATTTCTTATTTGTGCGGGCGTAGCCCGCACTGCCCACACCGCGGGCGCTTAGCTAGTGTATATATATATATATATATATATATATATATATATATATATATATCATGGTTACCAACCGGACGCCTGGATCCCGATCCGGACAGTCCCGCGTTAGATGTGTGGGTCCGGTGTCCGGTTCGGAGGGTCCGGTTGGACCTCGATTTGGAAAATTTCAAAAATTATTTTGAAGGGTTCCCAGGCCGTTTACCTAGGCCTGGGGTACCCCGAAAAATAATGCTGATGTTTTTTTAGAACCGGTATCCGAACCGGACAGAACCTGAAAGGGACCTCTGTGTGATAAGATTGGCATATGAGTTCACTGCTTTGCTCTTATTTGGATGGAATCTTGGTGCATTTTAGCTTTCTTCTTGGTACATGACTATCTGGACATCTGCATGATTTTGTAACTTGGTTTTCTGTCTATCGCTCTCGCTCATATTCCTTGCATTTTTGTGACGTGGGAGGAGGGTCTAGCCGATGGGAGGGGCGACCAGGGATGGGAGGGCGATGAAGCATGGGAGGGAGATTAAGGATGGGAGGGGCGAGCAGGGATGGGAGAGAGATGAAGGATGGGAGGTGCGAGCAGAGATGGGAGGGCGATGACGCCAGACAGAGATGAGTGACATTGGATACTGTGTTGGTGGGGCCTGAGGGCGATGGCATTGGCACAC